GGGGGGGGGGGGGGGGATAGGGGGGTCATATGATAAAATGCTTATTGACTGAGTTAGGTTGGGCTGGATGGGAAAATATTTGGCTCGAGGTCATGCCGTGCCGACTGAGCGCAGCGACCAAGCCCGCCTCCCAATAAAAAAACATATGACGTCCTCCAAAACCGTATTTTGTCACGACGACAAATCGTACAATTCGCGCGTGCTATTTTAAAATTTTAAAATTAAGATATAAACCTCGCGTGTTCTGATTGGTTAGTCGCGTTGCATTATAAGAGCACACAGCACACGCGCACTTTCTATTTCGTCATCATTCGTGTCCAAAATAACCGGCTACTCTAATTTGTACTTACTCGTTTTCCTAACACTTCGCTCGTGTTCTCCCCATGCTTCATTATGCTCACCGCATGCACTCGCGCGCGTTTTCTATTTCTTTGTGTCTTGTAATGAACGTATGGATAATATTTAACAATTATTTGCCGAAGGCGAAGTGAATATATCGGGGAATAATAACCGAAACGAAGTTGAGGTTATTATTCCCGATATTCACTGAGCCTGAGGTGAATAATTGTTTTAGTATAAATACACAGGTGATTCTTAAAAAAAGGAGGAAAAAAGAAGATAAAAGACACATTTAAGATTAGGAACAGCAACAAAGCGGCTGGCCGCCATTTTGGATTATCGCTGGAGGTGATTATCGTGTGATAATCTAAGTTTCTCGACCAATCAGAGCGCGAGATGTTCAATAATCACCTGTGTATTTATACTAAACCTGCATATGAGGAGTGAAGAATCTACTAACCTTCTTCAGGCAGGCTAAACCAGTTAGCTCTCTCCCAGCCCATTTTCTCTCCCCACACCGCTCCTGCCGCGTCAAGCTGAGAATACAATGGCGATGTCTTGACCTTCCTCGCGTACTGATTCTCCGTGTACGGGAATCGAAGCGTGTAATGCCATCCTAGAGTCTCTTTGACCCGGTCACGCAAGAAGCGCTTATTATTATCGTGACGAGAGAAGCGTTTGATGTCCACGGGCCATATGTCTAGTGTTGGGTGTCCCTCTGTAATCCATTCTGATAGGGCTTTACCAACTCCTGCCGCACTAGCAATACCACTAGAACACATACCGGCTGCTACAAAGTAGTTACGAACCTGAGGATTGGGATACGATAAAACTAATTATGTACGTTGTAGTCTCGATGTGGATTTCTGGACTCGGTATTACATGTGAGTAGAGTTTGTTAGGTCTCTCCCTTGATTCGAGGTTTTTTCTCTTGGTTCTTTGGTTTTCCTCCCTTCACAAAAAGCTAACACACTACATTCCAATTCATTCACTATGGTAACCATTGACCACCATCACTAGGTATCTTACCACCACCTTCACTATGGCAACCATTGACCACCATCACTAGGTATCTTACCACCACCTTTACTATGGTAACCATTGACCACCATCACTAGGTATCTTACCACCACCTTCACTATGGCAACCATTGACCACCATCACTAGTTACATTACTATCACTTTCACTATGGCAACCACTGATAATTACTATAGTCATCGTACCTCAGGTGCTTCTCCGAGTATATATCGTCCATCAGGAGTAAAGCTCTCTGGTCCGTTGATAAGCTGGCGAATCTCCACATTCTCTATGATAGGTACTCGATGAAGTATCTCATTCAACAAGACCTCTGGAAAAAGTAGATATAGCTAGGGGTTACTGTGGTATATTAAGCTGTTTATCTTCTTTCTTTCTTTCTTTCTTTCTTTCTT